AATTGTCCTCATTTGCTTCACTTGGATAGTGCGCTGTTTTGCGCTCCGCGCCGTTTATTCCACCACAGCTGAGTATCACTGTTTGCCGTGCAGTATTTTGCTGTGCTACTTTGTAAAATTTCCCATCAATTTATTTACCATTATTTGTGTAGTGGCGCGTTAGGTAAACTGTTGAATTTCAAAATCTGATATGTGCCGGGTTCAGGAAGAAATTGACTTAATTGCTGATTCCTGTGAACAAGGAACTCATCCCACGTTACTTCAGTGTAATCAGCTGAGAAACCGGAAGGCAGTTGTTGATTTGCGAACAACAGGGACAGCACGGTGTTTTGATATAGTCGTAATAAAATATGCAAGTCGTATGCCATAATGTCATATGCAAACTCTTAGGACTGCAGTTCGTCCTGATTGTATGGTATGAAAATCAGTACGGGATATAAACCTATTTCTTTTGCCTTTTACGCTTGTGCTGTTTTTCAGTGAGCTATCACGTGGGTCAAAGTGAATCGCAGCCTTGAAACGTATGCATGACGTGATGGCTGTGTGCCTTGCGTGCTTTGGTATGACAGCACTATCGATACCATGTCTACTCTACTATTCACAGATTAACTACTTGTCACTCATTTCTCTATTGTTGCACCGAAGCATCATACAGTGAGCTTGCTCAAGTGAAGCAACAATTAATAATAGAAAATTAGGTTGGAACTCTATACCTCTTAAGTTCAAAGTAGACTGCTGATCCGTCGCACAACTCCCTCCCTCTCTGCCGTGCTTTCCGTCGATCCAGTGACGAGTTTTGTTGTTGCCAAGTTTCGAGCGAGTCCTAAGGCAGGTGGTTTAGAAGAAATCGAACAGTCGATTCTTCGCAGGAACGGTCGTAGGCGTGTGTGCAGAACCGAGGTCGGCATTTGTTGCATCGGCGTCGCAAGTTCCGCGCTGCTGTCATGCGCGACCGTCGTGTTGGAAATCCAGCGTCGTGCCATATGAGTTTCTTGTCCCCCTTCCTACACGGAAGGCGATGTCAACTTCATGGTTATCAACAGAAAAGTAGCATTTTCTTCGTGTTCGTCGTTCGATGCCGTCACTGCTGCCGCGTCGTCGTCGTCTGTAATTTTTTGTCACCCAACTTGCGCTTCCTTGAACGACTGCGGACACTCGGTGTCAAGTATCTTGACCAGTGGTCATGCGTACGACATCCGTTACCGCAGCTGGACGACGGATTGGCACTGGCTTTTGACGTAGCTCTTTTCAGTGGCTAACAGAGCTCGAACGGCAAGGTTATCCAGGGTGACGCATCTGCGTACCGTTCGTTCGATTCAGTGTACTGCTGAAGCACTTGTTTCGGAAGGAAAACGACTTCATCATCATAGTCTTCCGCTGACTCTGTGGTGACGATCTCGTGCGTAAATGGAAACGACAAGTTGTCTTCAAATGGCCGATGAAATATCTAACAACATATTCAGTCACATATACATAAAAAGTACTTCACTGACATTTTATTCGTTCTGTTCGTCTATATTCTGTGCTTACGGATGTTCAAAACACAAAAGCTATACTTCGGTGGTGTCGCAGCTGTTGGGTTACTGTTGAAACGCGAAAACGCACCATTATAGAAGCAGTGGTCGCTGAAATTAAAATACTGACAGTTTCGTCTTGGTTTTGAGTAAACGATGCTTTTCAAGTTTAAAGTTTTGTTGCTTGAATGGAATCACTAAAAAAGCAATTTTTTAAACATAGATATAAAGTATCCTAGAAGATCACGTAACATGGCAAAATAAAAATAAACGTGAATCTTTATATCCTGGCAGAATTATGACAGCTAAGAAGTTCAGAATGCGAGAATTGCGCGGTTATCACAAATTAAACAGTGTCTTTGCGCACACGCTAAAACAGTTTTGCTTTGCTCTTAGAGAATACAAATAGAGAATAATCATAGTTTCCTTGCTTTGTTCGTAAACCGTCTAATCGTTTCAGGGCCATATGATTAAGCAGTTATTGTATCACGTGTTGCACTTCGATATTACAAGCTATTCATGCCTTAAACCTCAGTAGTCACCACTTGCCCAGTCGCGATGCCTCTCAAACGTGCCCTAGCGAACGATTAGATTTCGATCTAAGGTCCCTTACAATCGTAATAGATTGGAGTTAATCGAGACTTTGCGCGCGAACATTTTAGTCAGTGGTGCACCGATTCCTCGGGCGTGTTGATAAAGGGACAGATGCATATACAGAAGAAAGTGAATTTCAACAAACGCTCGCCTTGCAGGTGTATCAGTTCCTCGCAGGTCATAACACGCTTAATTAAGCGCAACACTGATGGCGTACATTGTAATTGTTAAATTTACCCGTTATTAAATCAGTAGGTGTGCCCGCTAAGCATCCGACTGTAATACGGACTTTTCAGTTACCTGTATCCTCGTCATTTCGAATTAGCATGCATTTAGAGTGCGATCACTGTTTTAGACCCGTGCCAGTTACGCTCAGGCCACCACCAGTTCTGCCAGCGGGAGGAAGAACTTCATGCGCTGAGGCAACACAAATAAATCTGTCTCAATTCCCAGTGCATCCCAGCGGACTATAGGCTGCTTAGAATCCCGGGTGAATGGCCGCTACCCTCACGGGTAGACTAGACTGCTTGATCGCCCTCCACGACGGTAGGAAGAATACTTCAGCAGCCGGAAAGGGCGCGTTTGGAGGGAGGAGGCCCGAGACCATGAGAAAGGGAATAGAAGGCGTTGCGGCCGACGGCCGACGCGATTCGTCGCCGATTATTGACCGGTCCAAGTGATTCAAATAATGAGTGGCCGTTCACGTTTCCCGACTC